ACCTACATATAATAGTGGTACTGTCAATTCATCGCAAGCCGTCAAAGAGTATGAAAAATTAAAAGAATATAAAAAAACTCTAAAAATAAAAAGTCTGCTAAAAATACCTCCATAACTAGACATACTATCAAGTTCATATTTTAAACACAATAAGTCTTGACATATCTATATATAATAATGGTACTATCAATTTATCGCAAGCCGTCAAAGAGTAAGAAAAATTTAAAAGAATATAAAAAAACTCTAAAAATAAATAGTCTGCTAACAAATTATCTACAATACCTCCATAACTAAACATACTATCAAGTTAATATTTTAAACAGAATAAGTCTTGGCATATCTATATATAATAATGGTACTGTCAATTTATCGCAAGCCGTCAAAGAGTAAGAAAAAATTAAAAGAATATAAAAAAACTCTAAACATAAATAGTCTGCTAACAAATTATCTACAATACCTCCATAACTAGACACACTATCAAGTTCATATTTTAAACACAATAAGTCTTGACATACCTACATATAATAGTGGTACTGTCAATTCATCGCAAGCCGTCAAAGAGTATGAAAAATTAAAAGAATATAAAAAAACTCTAAAAATAAAAAGTCTGCTAAAAATACCTCCATAACTAGACATACTATCAAGTTCATATTTTAAACACAATAAGTCTTGACATACCTATATATTATAGTGGTACTGTCAATTTATCGCAAGCCGTCAAAGAGTAAGAAAAAATTAAAAATTTAAAAAAACCCTAAACATAAATAGTCTGCTAACAAATTATCTACAATACCTCCATAACTAGACATACTATCAAGTTCATATTTTAAACAGAATAAGTCTTGACATACTTATATATAATAGTGGTACTGTCAATTCATCGCAAGCCGTCAAAGAGTGGGAAAAATTAAAAGAATATAAAAAAACTCTAAAAATAAAAAGTCTGCTAAAAATACCTCCATAACTAGACATACTATCAAGTTCATATTTTAAACACAATAAGTCTTGACATATCTTTATATAATAATGGTACTGTCAATTTATCGCAAGCCGTCAAAGAGTAAGAAAAAATTAAAATAATATAAAAAAACTCTAAAAATAAATAGTCTGCTAACAAATTATCTACAATACCTCCATAACTAGACATACTATCAAGTTCATATTTTAAACAGAATAATTCTTGACATATCTATATATAATAGTGTTACTGTCAATTCATCGCAAGCCGTCAAAGAGTGGGAAAAATTAAAAGAATATAAAAAACTCTAAAAATAAAAAGTCTGCTAACAATACCTCCATAACTAGACATACTATCAAGTTCATATTTTAAACACAATAAGTCTTGACATACCTATATATTATAGTGGTACTGTCATTTTATCGCAAGCCGTCAAAGAGTGAGAAAAAATCAAAAGAACATAAAAAAACTCTAAAAATAAATAGTCTGCTAACAAATTATACAAATATTCTTAAATCTGACTAAATATCTCTTTTACGGTTTATATATTTTTAAAATGTTCTTACTTCTACTTTTTATTTAATAATTACCGCAATATTTATTTAATAAAATGTATTAACCTGGAACCGACGCCACTGTTCACTCGGGTTCCTTCGCCATTTTGGCTGCCAAGTTTGGTCTGCCAACTTCACACCAGTTCTTATAGGTACATCTCAGTATGGAATTTTATATCAAAGTTTGGGTATTTTGAATTTAGAAGGATATAGTGATGCAGATTTTGCTAGAGATGTAAATACAAGACGTTCAATATCAGGGTTTATTTTTCGCCTAAATGAAAAATGTATTGCTTGGGGGTCTCAAGAACAAAGGTCAGTGTCTCTTTCTACATCTGATTCGGACTATATTGCTGCCAATGAAGCTACACGAGAACTTAGTTAGCTCAAATTACTGTATGAAGAACTTCTTTTTTAAGAATCAGCCATATACATTATTATTGAAAGTCTATATCAGGTTGACTTATAAAAATAGAATTTAGTTAAAATTACAACCTATTAATATTGTTGTTTTTGTCCTTATTTTCCATTCTAAATCAGCACCCAATAATTAAAACATAATACGCGATAAAATAACGAAATTTTTCAAATAACTAAGTAACTTTAATAAACAATATAAACACACTACAAGTTGTTGAGGATAAATTACTAATATGATTTTCTATTTATCAATAAAATGATGCATATGCAACTAACAATACAAGAAAGTAATATCGGTTGCCTAGATGTTAGTAATGTTTTACCAAAACAGAATGGTATAAATAATTTAGACAAAATTAGAAAAAATATTGTATGTAACACGTTACAAAATGCCGTTTTGTGTAACTCGTTTATGTAGCGGGATCTCGCTCTGCTCGTCCCAAAAATATTCATTCGTCACATAAAATAAGGCATTTCGTAACTGGTTTCATAAAACTATTAATATTAAACAGGTTCTTACTGTTACTTTATACTAAATTAGTTTATACCAAGCTAAAATTTTTGATATTTGATAGCTTTTAGGAAATTATTAAAACAAATGTTATATTTTTCCAATAGAACAGTCATATAAAATATAAAACTTAATAGACATAAAGGCAAATTTAAAAAAAGAATTCTTTTATTTTCAAAATAGACGTAAAGGTACCATAATATTTTCCTATATTTTAACAGCTTTTAGATGAATAAAGACAGAAACATGGGGTTCGTGATCGAATTACAATATTTGTTTGGGCTGATCCAACATTTTTTACTTTCACTTTTTCGAAAAAACTTATTTTTAAAATAGTTACTAATTTTATCTTAATATAGGTATATATAAGGCTCAAGGCGACCGTTAAGGTCTATTGCTTAGTTAGTTTCTTCCACTCGTTCCTATTCTTGGCTTTTTTTTCCAGTTCATGATCTTTTTTTCCTTAATATCGTCTATGATCGTTTCCTTCCATATCCTTTTAGGCCTTTCTTTTTTTCCTTCCGATGTTGTCCAAGCTATTTTTTTTAATTTCCTTGAGTCCTCCATCCTTTCTGTGCCCCAACCATTGTAACCTTTTTGACTGTATTATTTCGTATATGTTAGGTTCGTTAAATATTTCGTAGATTTCTTTGTTTGTTCGTCTTTCCCATCCTTCTTCTGTCTTTTTGTCCCCATATATTCCTCTTAGTATCTTTCGTTCCCATATTTCAATCTTGGTCTGTTCTTTCTTATTTTGTGCCGTATAGCATTGTAGGTCTGATTATTGTTTTGTACAAACATTTCTTTATTTCCCATGACAATTCTCTAGATTTTAGTAAATTATGTAAAGCTCCAGCGCATCTATTTCTCTTTGCTAGAGAGAAATCTATTTGAGCTTGTTCTTCGCATCTATTTGTAATGAGAACACCGAGGTACATGTAACTGTCTGTGTCGTCTATTGTTATTTTTTCTATGGTTTTAGTTTGTAATTCTAGCTTTCCAGGATTTTTTCTTAAATGTTTGTTTTTGAGTTGCATCTACTGACTCTTCTTTTCATTTATTTTTAACCCCATTGTTCGTGCCGCATCTAATAACTGTTCTGTTATGTTTTTAACGGCCAGCAAAGCTATACCTCGATAGTTTTCACAGCCTGCTATGTCCCCTTTCTTATATATTGGCAGTATTACTGTTTTTCTCTAATTTAGTGGCATTTCTTCCGCTTTCCATATTTGTATGATTAGTTGTATTATTTCTGTTATTAGTTGTTGTCTTCCATATCTTAGGTTCTCTGCGGTAATTTTGTTTGATCCATGGCTTTTATTATTCTTCATATTTGAAATAATTTCTATTATCTCTTCTTCTGTGGGTTCGTTCCTCAAAGGTGTACATAGGGTTTTTATTTGCTTTTTCTTCCTCTTCTGCTGCTTCTTCTTCTACTTTCTGCCGTTCGGGTTCATCGTTAAGTAATTTTTGGAAGCATTGTTTCCATCTTTGCATTTGCTAGCTTTTTCCTCCTACTAAATTTCCCTCCTTATCCTTGATGATATTTTTCTCTCAGTTTGTTTTTTTTTTTAATTTCTTAATCGCATTCGTTATCTAACCATTCCTTTCTTTTCTGCGTTTTTTCTTATTAATTTATTTCTCAGTTGATGTTTTTATGGCATTTTCTATGTTATTCCATTTCTTCTCTACTATGTTGGCCATGTTTAAAACTGGTGTATTGTCTAGACTTCTTTCTATGTCTGCTCTATATCTCCTTGATACTCGTTTACTTTACTTCCATGTTATATTTTGTATTTATATTTATATAGATGTTTTATTTTACCTTTTTTTGTTCTGTTTGAATTATATTAGCAATAACTAGAAAGTGATCGGAGTTTGCATCTGCCCCTCTGTATGAAAGTCCTGAATACTATTTAAATTCGCTTATTTGTAGCAAAGAAAAGATATAAACATTCCAAAATAAATGAAAGATCATTAATCAATATAAGGAATATTAATGGTCCTAAGTTGGATCCTTGTGGTACATCTAAACCCACTATACAAATTGAGCGCGTCCAACTAAGTAGTTCTGTATCAAAGAAAATATAGGCGCTGACATTCCCATACGTCCTAATTTTGTTAACATTGAGATCAATTTGATCGAAAGCTTTTCTAACATCTCTGTAAATCATACCTACTTGACCAAGTGAGCCGAGAATTTCTGCAGTAAATTGAGCAAAGCAACTTAAATTGCTAACATTTTTGAGACGAAACCGTGACGCTGTTCTCTTATTCTGTTTTTTGACAGAAGCATAATATTAGGTCCTTCAAAATTATTTTAAAAAAGCTTACTAAAATTGCAAAATCTATAGTTTAGAACAATTACTGTAAGCCAAAAGCATTTATAGTATTAAATCTTCCAGCTAGACAGCTTCAAGACTGATGCTGTCTAATTTAAGCTCACAGATAAATAAATAATAGATACAATTTAGGGCTGAGGACGCTCCCTTGTGGTACTCATGTTTTAGTTTGATTTAACTAAGATTAGTAAAGCTAGTAGAAATTAAACAAGTTTTTAAAAACGTACACATTTATTTCGCCTAAGATAAATCGTTCTATTTACATAAAAAAATATACAAAATAATACAAAAGAAACGCACAACTTCATTATGGCAAGCTAACTAACTAGTACCTGTACCCATCTGCGCCTCTACTACCCGAACCAGCACCGGGCGTACCATAGAGACCAGATGGAGCACCACCTCCTGATCCACCCCTGCCTCCTTGGCCACCACCGCCTCCGCTGTATCCGCCTCCTAAGAGAAATTAAATAAAAACGTATTTATAATCTTCCAATAACTGAATAAATGATAATAATATTACCTCGTCCACCACTGCCACCACCACCTGAGTATCCTCCTTGTCCTCCACCTCCTCCAGAGTAACCTCCTTGTCCTCCGCCACCGCCAGAGTATCCTCCTTGTCCTCCACCACCTCCAGAGTAGCCTCCTTGTTGTCCTCCACCACCACCAGAGTATCCTCCTTGTCCTCTACCGCCGCCGGAATAACCTCCTTGACTACCACCTCCATATCCACCTCCTTGGCCTTCATCTTGACCTGGTCTGTACTGACCATCATCTACGATACCTCTGGCTTCGTCAGCGAGGTTTTGGTCGATAGCTCTTTGAATTTCTGGAGGGATTGGGGGTGGTGTTGGAAGATGAGCGCCTTGAGGAAGGAAACCGTTTTGATCGGCCGTGTAGGTGACTGAGATCTGTTGGCCATCTGGGGATGTGTAACTGAAAGAACCTGAAAGAAGATTTATTATACGAAATGATTGAACATCAAAAAGATACAGATATTTTTTATTAAAGTTTCTTATTTTTTACCTTGTGCTTGCGTGCCATCTCCTCGGGCATCTCCAGCTTCATCAGCATTGATGCCGTTACCAGTTTCATAGAGGTAATTGTAGGTACCATCTCCGTTATTGTTGTTTTCGTACCGGATAATGGGTATTTCTGAACCGGCACCGGGTCTGCCTCCACCGCCACCGAAGCCGCCACCTTGAGATCCTCCTCCGAATCCACCTGGTGCCCCGCCCCCTTGACCACCACCTGAAACAACAAAATTAAAAAATACAAAGTGAACAGCATGATTCTGAAAATATGTAAGAAACTTAAAGGTTAATTTTATAATAAAAATAAAGCAGTATTTATTATTATTTAAAGGTTATGATAATCGTATATGATTAAATTAAAGTATTGTAAAATTGGCCTAAATCCATCCAAAGTCTAAAGTCTAAGCGAAGATAAGGCAAGAGGTCGATGTCATATCATTAATGAACAGTTAAGGCGTACAATGTGCACTTTGTGGGACACCAGAACTAACTGCTTGCATTAAAAACTACGTAGCCAAGCTACCAAATTATTTTGCTCCCAACTTCATTGAAAGTATCATGATTAACTATGTCAAACGCCTTGGAGAAGTTGGTATATACAACATCAACTTGGTTACCATTATCCAATGCATCTAACAGAGTAACTTCATATGAAACCAAGTTATTAGTTGTGAATTCTCAATAATTTTTTTTGATTATTAACAAATATATCTTAAAATTGCCACAATAAATCATTGTAAATTAGTTTATCACTTTTGATATAGCGGACTGATTGCAAACTCCACTGTAGTTTTGGTATCACGTTTGTCTCCACCCTAGAATACTGGAACCAGAAAACTGGTTTTCCAAACTTCAGAGAACACTGAGACCTCAAAGAACAAATTAAAAATATTATATTCCTCTCATTTTCCCTGGTTAAAAATCTATGCACGCCTATGGAAGTGGTAAATACATCAAAAATCTAATTTTTTACGTTTTCATTACGATTCTAATTCAAAAAATCTATTGTTTTCAAGGAAGTTAAGAAAGAAGAAATTTCCGGGTATGACATTTAAATAATCACCTATATAAATTACATAAGAAATATTTCTGTTGAATAGCCTTTGAAATTATAGATCTTTTTGATAAATTAATGCAAATTATTTACAATGTTTAGAAGGCATTTAATCACGTAATGTTTCATGGAAGAAAATAAATATTTTTTTTATGTCATGTCATACAAATAGAAAGAATTTCCTCAAGCCTTCATGGTCTTTGAGAAGAGAAAGAAGTGTTATTCACCAATTGGGTGCATCTTATTGGTAATTATTTAAGATACATAACTTTTATAGTATGTACGTGAGGCATGATTATATTTTAACGGGGTACTTACTTTTAACAATATAATTGATGCTGTAGCAGTTTCTATATCTACATCAACAGTATATATACATTTTCTAACACTGACAATTTGATTTATAGATTACATAGAGAATTAGTCCGAGGACACTGCCTTGTGGTGTTCTATATAGATTTATTTTAGATTTTGGAAATTCTGAAAGTGAAAAATTTCTGATTCCCTCTACAAAATTATAAAAATTACACTCTCATACCCTCAAAATGAAAACATAAAGAAAAATTAAAGAAGCTGATAATTAAAGAAAGACAAAATGCGCGCACGACCCGGAATCAAACCCGGACCCTGGACTTGGACGCTTTACCAATTACCAAATTATCCTTAAAGCAATTCTTTTGACATAGTATAGAAGGACAGTATTTTATAATTACACTAGAACCAAATTTCTAAGATTCTTCATTCGTTCAACAGTGTTAAGCCACATGGCGCTAGTATCTTTTTGAATTTTGACACGTCTGACATCGGCACGTTCATTGGTTGAAGACGAAGTGATAATTTTTGAATTTTTCTTCTACAAAATTTATACCGTTCATTACTATTAATTTAGTTTCAGCGATATTTATTGTGTTGTATTAAGTGCTTATTTATTTAATATGGAAAGCAAAACGTACAACAAACTCAGAAAAAGAGGATTCAAGGAGGGATTGCTATGGCTGTCATCCAAGGGACCCCGCCCTAGATAATACTTTTACCAGTGGAAAAAGCATTTAAAATTCATGTATAACAATTTTATGTTTCAGTTTTCATTTCTTTTAATGTAGGTGCCACTTTTGACGTAAGTTTTTAATAATTTTTCATATTTCTTAGTTAATACCCTCTAATATTATAATTTAACTAAGATTTTATGCTTTCCTATGGACACGATTCAAGGAGGGAGCCATATGGCTGTCATCCAAGCCCTAGATAATAGTTTTCCAGTGGCAACAGTCTTTTAAATTCAAGTATAATAATTTTCTGTTTCAGTTTTTCTCCTTTTTAGAAGTAGGGGCCCATTTAAACTAAACATTTTTATTTCACTTGTTGATTTTAGCATTTATATACAGTATTGGCTATTGAATACTTTCCAATACGCTTGGCTAGCATCGAAGCGAAAGCTAAAGAGTTAGCATTAGTGCGATCAGGAGAGTAATAATATGAATGTTGCCTTGTGTGCTGTGTAATATGAACAGACACGGTGCGTTGCATCCCCACGTAGCCGGCTGGTAATGTTCATAGTATTCCATTCCTTCTCGCACTAATGCTAACTCTTTGTAGTTTCCACTTGGACATTAGCAAAACGTATTGTAAAACATTCGATAGCCGACACTGTATTATCACAAACTAAATGATTTCATTTAATATTGTGTCTTTTTTTTTTTCAGTAAAAAGGATATGGCTAGAGTTAAGAATTTTTTTTTACCAGAGCCAATTTTTCAGATCTAACCCCTATAGCTAAAAAATAAGTGATTCAAGTAAAATTGCAGTATATAACATGTTCTTTTAAATGTGTTGTTAATCCAAACGCTGTTCTTATTGTAATAGCTAACAATAAAATAATTCGTATTATTTTTAATTATCAATTTACAGCTCATTTAATGGAACATGCAATATGCAATATGCACTTTTTAATTATTATTGCCGAATGTATATATTTAAAAATTCCAGCCATTCCGCTGCTATAAATTACGATTTTGGCAAGAAATTTAAATTTCGCCTTAAAATTATATTTGAATTTACCGCCATATCGAGTTAGTTGAGCGACCAGTCGCATTTAGGGCTGCAAACTGTGTGCCATCTCCTTAACAAGTGAGATGCACAACTACAGGGGATATATTGTGATATTGCCCTGGTTTTCATGTTTTTCTTTTAAATTTGGACATATTACCAAATAATGTCTTTTATTATATATACTACATCTAACATAAAATCTACATCTTCTGGTAATATGACCTACTTTAAAGCATATAAAACAGAAAACTCATCATAATCCAAATTCTATATCGATTTTACTCAAAATGACATTTTTAAACATACAATTTGTTTATCCACATCGGACACATCTGCCCTACTACATTTACGTATCTTGAATCACGAGATCAAATATTTACAACATCTTCTGTATCTATAACGTGTGGAGGGTGGGTAACCCCCACGGTACTTAGGCCTCATTAGGCCCATTGTGCATCTTCTTAAGATGATAGGCACCTCCTAGCTCGTGAGCCAGCCTACAGATTTAACGTAGTTGATAACGTCGCCAAGAGGTGCGTCTCTTATATCGGCCGGTGTTAGCCGATACTCGCCGAACATAAATCTTCTAATAAATGAAAGCGTCGAGCAATCGTAAAGGATATGCTCGATGGTCTCATCTTCTTGTTCACACCCTCTGCAGAGTGCGGATTCTGACAGCCCCATGATATGAAAATGCTTCCGTACTTGGCAATGACCAGTCAGAATACCTGTGACTAGGCGCAGATTCTGTCTAGTCATAGTCAAGTATTTGTTTGCTGCAGTGTTGTCAGGATAAGTTAACAGCTCCCTGGCAACTCTGCAGTTTCTTGTTTCATCCCATCTTTCCTTGAATTTCACTACCGATTTTGTCAGACCAATAGAAGGGCCAGGTCCAAAAAGTATTTGGTTGGCTGCTTTCATGGCTAGTGAATCAGCAAGACGGTTACATTTCGATGTGGCGTGACCTTTGATCCATCTTAGGGTGACCACATTGTTGATGGATACTTCGTCCAACGCTTCGTGACATTCTAATACTAACCCTGAATAAATTCGTGGTCTGTTCAGGGTGAGTAGTGCTATTCTGCTATCTGTATAGATGAGCATGTTCCTTCCAGTGATATTGTTTCTGGTTATTTCTTTTGCTGCTATGAGAATCCCCCTTAGCTCTGTTTGAACTACACTGGCACTAGCTCACAGCCCATTTTATGTTTAGGATTAAGAATCTGGAGTATATTCCACATCCTGAGCCTTGTTTTGTTTTAGAAGCATCGGTGCAGATATGAATCGTACCTGCCACTTCTGGCTCTTCTATTTGTTCTTACAACATCTTAGATGCATCCGATGTGGATATTCAAACGCAACCTACATTTGTCCTCTTAGGTATCCATCCATATTAATATTAGAACCAAGGACTGGTATAAACTACAAATATTTCGCAGATTGTTCAGTTATGGAAATGTTTGGTAACGATTAGACACTTTTCTCTATTTTTATATCTTATTTACTTTATAGGCTCCATTTTTTGGGGTTTTAAAGGTCATTACATTATGAAGCCACATTGAACTATGTTGCTTTCTGATCTTTTTACAGGATAAGTTTCAGCTCCATATATAAATCTAATCTATTTTTATGTTTGCTTTTCATTCCAAAACTATGATTCAGAAACAGATTTTTCTGTTTATATCTTCTTAAAAACAGATTTTCAAATAAATTGCACATGTGTAACCACTGTTGTTATTTTTACAATTTAAGTGATTAAGTAGTAAAGTTACTTGTAGGTTTACTTGACAGATTAAAAAACAATGACCCTATTGTTTAATCACCAAGTAGTTACTTTCAACTTTACTCAGAGATGAAAAGCCCTTAAGCTTATTAATAAGGGTCGTGGGTTAGGTTCTAGGATACAACAACCCAATTACCCTGAAATTGGTTGTTTTTAACATATAAGTGTAAAAGTTTATAAATGGGGTGTATTTTATGATGGGAAACTTTCTTTGTTTGATGTTTTAGAACAAGCTAAAATATTAAGAATATCTATCTAGAGGTTTTTCAAAAGAACAAACATTTCAACGTTGCTGTAATCTTTTAAAGGGTGATGTATTATTATGGTACAT